TTCAAATGTTGAAAAAAACGTATATATACGTTTGGACCGTTTACGGGTTAATATTTACTACTTTTATGTAGACGAATAAAGTTAGGAAGTTAAAACAGAAGACTCTTACGCCACAAACACAATGGTGTCCACGACAAGTGCAAGAAAATTACCATGGTCTGTTAAAATACCTTCATTAACATCTAATGACATCTAATACTTGGAGAGGAATTAGTTTGGTCTTCTGACTACTACTGCTAACACTACTTATATTACTATTATTACTACCAGGATACTCCTTGGTCACATAATCAACTCTCCTCTCAGTAAACTGACTGCTCTGAGATGTTCAAGAACTAACCTCATATAGACGAAAAGGCACAAAAGTGTGAAGGGAAGGGAGCCAGTATACATACAAGAGTGATGCGAGGCTGGGAAGGGAACAACGAGAGGAGGCATTAGTGCATCTGTAGAGGTAGTGGTAGTGGTGCAATAGTGGCAGAGGTGGCAAAATGAAGGGAGTAGTGGTATTGTTGTTGTAGATTCATCGGTGTAATCGCCCGCTCAGGGCCTTTACCAAGAGGAGGCCCGGCCTTCGCTCCCTGTCGTGGGAGTCTCAGACCAATGCCTGCCATGGGAGGAGGTACAAGTGCCTCCTCGCCTTCCGGGACTAGCTGTCCCCAGGCCAAGCCCCATTCCCCGCCCCCATCGGGCTCGGAGAGAGAAGATAGATACCTTGAGCTGCCACAAACCCTCCAACATGGGACTAGTGGTAGTGACACAAGAGTCAGAGGCAATAGTAGCAGTGACTACTATTACTACTAGTAGTAATAATAATAGTAGTAGTAATAGTACTAGTAGTAGTAATAGTAGTAGTAGTAGCAGTAGTAGTAGTAGTAGTAGTAGTAGTAGTAGTAGTAGTAGTAGTAGTGGAGGTAGGCAAGAACAAGAAAAAAAAAGGGGAGCACTGAAGGAGAGTTGATGGCCTATTAGGTTAAATAAAAAAAAACGGTGGTATAAACACAGGATAGAACTCAACTAGGAAGAAGAAAGCAAAAATGTCAAGGAGCAGATGCATATCGTAAGCAGTTCTTTGCAAAGTGAGAATTGATGCTCAGTCAGTATTTCCAGTCACTTCAAAGACTGTGTCTGCTGATTTACCTGTCACCACCTGGAGCGTCCATGGTACTAATGACTTCATTATACGATAGTTGTTACTGTTAGCAATTATCTTCAATTTATTTCCAGTTAAAGGCTTTATTACTGCAATCTTAACTAATAACTTACTAAAAAAAAGTGCTTTAATATTGCACAATTACTGCCGCAATTGATTAATACTCCTTAAATCTAATTACTGATAATATGCAATAAATTGATTCAATGTATAATAACCCAGAGCTGTGATGACCCCCGGGGCACGTGTGTGAATTTATGTTAATGATATTCATCAATAGTGTTAATTATCGAAAACGCACAATACCGTGACTGGAATAATACACAAATAACCCGCGCACAGGAGAGAGGAGCTTACGACGACGTTTCAGTCCAACTTGGGCCATTTGCAAAGTCAAAATCAAAGACAAAGTGTGATTTTATAAATGGTCCAAGTAGGACCGTAACGTGCGGGTTACTTGTGTATCAATAATGTTATTAGTTGTCACTGCTGTTTACACTAATTCTAAACATATTTTCAGCACTGTATGATTTAGTCTGTGCAATGACTACATAAATGTGTTATTATCATTGACAAATGCTCAGAATCTAATGATTTTTAAAGTTTATTAGTTCTTTATTTAATATTCTTGTTATACGAATAAGTTACTTTGTGTATTTAAGGCTACCTCACCTGCATGGAGTTGTAGGGGTCGAGTCTTAGTTCCTGGCCTTGACTCTCCGCTGACTGCTGTTGGGTTCGGTCTTATGCGATATTTCATCACTTGTCCTTAACTTGGCCTCCTGGAGAACATGGATAATCAACCACTTTCCTCTCTCCTCCTGCCTCACTTTCCTCCTGATTTTATTGTTATTTCTTTTCTCTGCTTTCCTTATCATCTGCACTTCCTGGTTACCTAAGAGCATTTATCCAAGGGTCTTTTTTTCATTCCTCCTCTCTTCCTTCTGTCTTTGCCTCTTTTTTCCTTCACTTCATCTCCTTTACTTCCTTCCTCAGCTCCCTTACATCACTCGTGTTTCTGAGGTAGCTATTTTCTCTCCTGTTTATTTTCCTTCTTTGCGTTTTCTTTTGTCTCCTTGTAACGATGACTAAAGTTTCTTTCCCACTTTTTCATTTTATGTTCGAATCCAGCAATCATTAGTTCCTTCTCCATCCACACACATCTCGTTTTATCTTATCATCTCCTCCTTTTCAGTTTGAATTTTGGTTTTCCATCTCATTTTTCGAGTTTCAGCCAACCGGGTACAATAACCTCCTCCGACTGCAGCTTGTAACAGTGTATAGTGTGACAGCCTGTGATATTGTATACGACTGATACAATGACTTCAGCCTGTGATATTGTATATGACTGATACGATGACTGCAGCTTGTGATATTGTATATGACTGATGCAATGACTGCAGCTTGTGATATTGTATATGACTGATGCAATGACTGCAGCTTGTGATATTGTATATGACTGATGCAATGACTGCAGCTTGTGATGTTGTATATGACTGATACGATGACTTCAGCCTGTGATATTGTATACGACTGATACAATGACTGCAGCTTGTGATATTGTATACGACTGATACAATGACTTTAGCCTGTGATATTGTATACGACTGATACAATGACTTCAGCCTGTGATATTGTATACGACTGATACGATGACTTCAGCCTGTGATACTGTATACGACTGATACAATGACTTTAGCCTGTGATATTGTATACGACTGATACAATGACTTCAGCCCGTGATATTGTATACGACTGATACAATGACTTCAGCCTGTGATATTGTATACGACTGATACGATGACTGCAGCTTGTGATATTGTATATGACTGATACAATGAATGCAGCTTGTGATATTGTATATGACTGATACAATGAATGCAGCTTGTGGTATCGGGTAAAAGTTTACATATGATAACCTGCGAATGGATATTAAGATTTTTTTATTTCCTGACCGCTAATTTAACTGCACTGTGAACTTAACCCTCACTCTGCGTTTTTAAAATTGTGTGCATTAAGACGCAGATGACAGGAATTATGGAATCAGGGGATACCTTTCTCATTCAGCTACGATCGAAATATATCTAGTTCTTTTAGTCTCTTCACTTCTTTTATATACGTTCTTCTAGCATTTTTATATTGTCCTTGTCCTTCCCTTGTCAATATATTGTCATCCATTCCGTAGACTCCTCGAAGTATCTTGTTGGATTGTGATTAAGGTTCATTTGGATTCTTCTTCTTCTAGTGGCTTAGTATATAGCTCCTTTAACCTTCCTTTATAACTCATATGTCTCGGCTTTATAACTTGTCTAATGGCAAGTTTATAAAGATATCGTGTCATTTTATGTACCTACTTTGCCTTCTGCTTCACGGTGACTCTGCATACTCTTGGATAAGTCCTTTGCATGCGGTGTTTATCATGCTAAATGGTTCCTTGCTTAAATTCCTGAAGATGTCCTTACGTTTGATAGGCTTAAAGACGTTGTTATTGCTGTTTAGTCTATATTTAACTTTGTGTATATTTGTGTGCGTGCTCGTGTATATACGCATTATGTACATGTCTGTATTTGTGTCTTTGTATATGTATATGTGCATCTGCTTGGATGTGCATACATGGGTAAATGCTTCATAGTTTTTTAGAGAATTTTATTATTAAGAATGTTTATAACATGTGGCATAAATTATTGTAGTCCCTGTCGAATTAGAGTTTGCATAATTTGATTTAAATCATCAGAGAATGGCCATGACGAGAAGTCAATTTGCAAAAACTTACTAAATATTTCAGGAAAATGAGTGACAATTACGTCGAGCTGGAATGTTTTAATTTGGACTATTGACCAGGAGAGTTAGAAAGCCAGGATAACCCATGAAAGCCAGGCCGTGTAGCTTATTCCCACTGTAGACTAAAGTTTGGTTTCGATAACTAACTAACGTTATTGCGGTGACTTCAAAATTATTGCTCAAATCATAATGAAGTTTTGAATTCAAGATTATCTCACAGTATTATAAAGCAGGTAATTGTATGCAGATTTACTTGACAACTTAATAATGTCTGTATTAGCTATCCGCCATAACCACACTTTTTTTCTTCTTACTATTTTTAAGTGAAGAATACCATAAACTCTTTTCCAATTTATACATTTACTAACCAAACCATACATTTACTACTTTTGAAAAGTGAAAATGTTACTGTGGAAGACTGACCGTGTTTACCAGGAAGCTGTATAATCTGTTGATAATCTTGTTTGGAGTTTCTTACGTGTTTTTCAAAAACAAATTTGCGTGCCCCAAGTTGAGTGTACCCTACAGCGACTATACATTTGTTGTTCCACCTGCGATAATAATACTTGCTGAGGCGTCCCAGCACTGGCACCCATACAGTGATATATGTCTTATACCCATACTTAAGAGGTGTAACAAAAAGTTTACGTTCGTAGTAAATAGCTTACGTTCGTAGTAAATAGTTTACGTTTGTAGTAAATAGTATTATGTTCTTAGCACCCATACAGCGATATATGCCTTATATATATACTTTAGAGGTGTAACAAAAAGTTTACGTTCGTAGTAAATAGTTAACGTTCGTAATAATTAGTTTACGTTTGTAGTAAATAGTTTTGTTCTTAGTAAACAGTTTATGTTCTTAGCAAAGACCTTATGTCCGTAGCGAATAGTTTTATGTTCGTAGCAAATAGTTTATATTCATAACAAATAGGTCATGCTCGTAGCAAATACTTTATGTTCTGGGCAATAGTTTATGTTCGTCAGCAGTAGCAAGCCACGAGGATAATAACTTACTGCAATCCTAGTTAAACGAGTCTTAGTACATGGAGTTACAGTTGAACATTACCGTTTAGCAGCAGCGAGTAGGTGATGGTGAGGAACAGTGTCTTGCCCATAGCGGTGGGGATGATGGAATGTGTCTGACTCCTTGTGTCTAACAGACATAACTCTGACTCTCAGTCTCCTCCCAGGCCACACAAGTCACTTTAACCGCTTCTGCGCAGTGTTCACTTCCACGCTCTGTTACATCACCTGCTCTGGCCAAGCCAGAAGCTGCCTTAATATTAACTCTCATCGTTCATTATCTGTAAACTACGAAACATCCCCTAGAAGTAATAAACCACTAATTTCTGAAGCCACATTAAACGTGTCATTGCCTATTTGATTGGACCTTAGTTCCTTGTTGTTTAAGGTCGCTGTACTAACATCTTTAACCGGCACTATATCTCTCCTTAACAAATCCGGTAGATGGTGCGAGGCTCTAAATTCGAATAATGCTAGGCCATATTATGGCCGAAGAATGCTCAACATCTGCAATATCTTGTAATAATGAACATCCAGATCCTTACGATGGAGACAAATGGTATAAAATATCGACACAAAGTAAAAAAAAAAAAGACATAAATGGAGGATCGTATTATGCTGCATTTGTCTCTTTTTTTCCATCCAGATTTTTACGAGTTAAGTAGTGAAGAAAAATGATGTTGTAGGTTATCTTAATTAGTACGAAATCTCATGGAGGCGGATAATGTCGACGATCTATCAAAGTTAATGAAGATCATCGAAGATTTGTGAAACGTCTGAACAGCTGCCAACTTTGATACATGTTTCACTCATTTTTATTACTCAGTCACGCGCATCTTCACCTCAGAGCACAATTAATGCTCTGTACTGAACCCTGTGCTTCTTCTCCCATAGAACACCACTTATCTTGCTACTCAACCATTTGCATCCTCCTCTTATGTTACCATTCATCTTCAGTACTCAACCTTACGTATCATTCCCCCAGACAACAATTCATCTTCTCTACCAAACCCAACACATCTTGTCCCCAGGAAACCCTTCGTCTTCACTACTAAACCCAGCACATCTTGTCCCCAGAGAACCCTTCATCTTAACTACTAAACCCAGCACATCTTGTCCCCAGAGAACCCTTCATCTTAACTACTAAACCCAGCACATCTTGTCCCCAGAGAACCCTTCATCTTAACTACGAAACCCAGCACATCTTGTCCCTAGAGAACCCTTCATCTTCACTACTAAACCCAGCACATCTTGTCCTCAGAGAACCCTTCATCTTAACTACTATCCCCAGCACATCTTGTCCCCAGAGAACCCTTTATCTTAACCACTAAACCCAGCACATCTTGTCCCCAGAGAACCCTTCATCTTCACTACTAAACCCAGCACATCTTGTCCCCAGGGAACCCTTCATCTTAACTACTAAACCCAGCACATCTTGTCCCCAGAGAACCCTTCATCTTAACTACGAAACCCAGCACATCTTGTCCTAGAGAACCCTTTCATCTTAAACTTCACGAAACCCAGCACATCTTGTCCCCAGAGAACCCTTCATCTTAACTACTAAACCCAGCACATCTTGTCCCCAGAGAACCCTTCATCTTAACTACTAAACCCAGCACATCTTGTCCCCAGAGAACCCTTCATCTTAACTACGAAACCCAGCACATCTTGTCCCTAGAGAACCCTTCATCTTCACTACTAAACCCAGCACATCTTGTCCTCAGAGAACCCTTCATCTTAACTACTATCCCCAGCACATCTTGTCCCCAGAGAACCCTTTATCTTAACCACTAAACCCAGCACATCTTGTCCCCAGAGAACCCTTCATCTTCACTACTAAACCCAGCACATCTTGTCCCCAGGGAACCCTTCATCTTCACTACTAAACCCAGCACATCTTGTCCCCAGAGAACCCTTCATCTTCACTACTAAACCCATCACATCTTGTCCCCAGAGAACCGTTCGTCTTTACTACTAAACCCAATACATTTTGTTCCCAGACGAGGAGGTGTAAGGAAGGTAAACACACACACACACACTGATATATAACCAATGCATAAATGTATTCTTACTCTTTTCACCTGCCACTCTGGAGAACACGCTATTGACCTCAAGAATCCGATTGGATTTCGATACAATTTGAAAAAAAAAAGATTTAAATATGCGTATGTGTGTTTTGGTGAGGAGTTCTTGATTCAAGGAATTGGACCTGCTTTTCCCTTTCTTGGCCCGAATTCGATTGTCTCTAATTCCCAAAGCGCTGTATAAATCCCCTACGGGTTTAACTATTCACCCTAAATAATAAAAATAATAATAATTTAGACCCCAAGAGAACGTCTAGTGTTCTCTAACTGTTGACCAACTTGGTTATCAAAGATCCGGCAACGATTATAGGACGGAGGATCGAGCATCCATCACACATTGAACTGAATGACCCATACGGATTCGGTGCTTCATGAAATATAATAATAATAATAATAATAATAATAATAATAATAATAATAATAATAATAATAATAATAATAATAATAATAATAATCTACCTGTTGACCCTGGCCAGCTGTACACAATAAACAACACCCTGGCCGGCTGCACACAAAAGCAGAAGCATAGATTGCACCATCAGTAACCAGCTGCCGAACTCTGAGCTGTGTACACTACTGGGTTACAGCGAGGAACATAAGAAAACTTAACAAAAGAAATTGGAAAAATCCATTGCCACAGTACGTGGTCACACTGGAGTGTTTTGTTGCCTAGGTTGTAAATCATTGAAGTTCTTCCTTCGTAAAGAACTCAGTGTATAGAACCCTTGTGAAGTCACTCCTTTGTAAAGATGTCAGAGTGTTTACGATTTCTGTTGCTGCCTGTCAATACCACAGTGCTCTGTGCAGAGTAATATAGCTAACAATTCTTTTATATCTAGCATGACCTGTCTAGTAGACTGGCGGTGAAATCTAACATTTTTGTAGAAATATTTACTGCCAGTTTGACACAGGTTTTTTTTTAATGTACTAAAACACCCAGGTTTTCTTCGTGTCAATGACTGGCTGAATGGCTCTCATGGGCATTGAATAGGTAATATATGTAGTACTTGTGATTCTGCTTCACTTACTAAACCTGTGACGAAAGTATATGGAATTTGAAAACTATTATTTACATTATAACCAATACTACTACTACTACTACTACTACTACTACTACTACTACTAATAATAATAATAATAATAATAATAATAATAATAATAATAATAATAATAACAATGCCTGCACTTTAAAGGAGGGGTTTGGGATATTGGCAGTTTGGAGGGATATGTTGTGTATCTTTATACGAATATGCTTCTAAACTGTTGTATTCTGAGCACCTCTGCAAAATCAGTGATAATGTGTGAGTGTGGTGAAAGTGTTGAATGATGATGAAAGTATTTTCTTTTTGGGGATTTTCTTTCTTTTTTTTGGGTCA